GAGCAAAAAGAGTTTGTCTCCCTGAAGAACTGGGCTGAGGGGCCCAGCCAGACTCACTTGAGTTTAATGGAGAGAGGAACGGTGTAGAAGAACACGTTGATCTGGAACACGCAGAGGAAGAAGAGGCGGAAATGCTCGAACATCTCGGCGAAGAAATACCAGAAGAGGCCGATGTTGGGGGTCAGGTCAGGGACCGACAGGCTGGGGGTGGGGGGACAGACACCGTTAAGACAAAAGCTCTGCAAAACCCACTGCCGGGGCACTTTGATCTGCTATGATCGGCTCTTTTCGGGTTTAAAAACCCAGCCTCTAAAAGAGGCAGAATGGACTGTGACGAATGATGACATTTTTAAAACTCTTTGCGGTTTTTAAATCACAAACTAAGTCCTTTTGTCCTCTGATTTTAAGGTTAAAGGACTGAATGAGAAACATGTCTAACAGGTTCTTTGCAGAGCCCTGAGAAAGTTTAAAGAGGCCCCACGTTTGTGGATAATTGCCTAATTTTCCTTCACTTTAACGCGTAGAGCTGAAGAAAAGCATCGACTTCAGTTGTTTGGATTAGTTTAAGCGTGATTGACTCAAAACAGACGGCTCCGGAACGCGTCTGAACAAAACAAGCCGTCCACGTGAACACGCTCTCGTTCTTTCACTCACATGAAGCCGTACACGGAGGGCAGGTAGTCCCACGAGCCCAGGAGGAAGAAGGACAGACAGATGAGGACGAACAGGCTGCCGAAGTATATGAAGAGGTACTGCACCACGAACCACCAGAAGCTGGCCCGCCGGAAGTTCACCGGGATGTACTGACGCTGAGGGGGCGGACATATCAGAGGGAGGCTTTAGAGTTAGCCTGGAAGGGCTTTCTCCGAACAGGAGGGAGGTTAAAAAGCTGAGAGTGTAATACGCAATCTTTTACACGGTAGACTGAGTTCATAGAAAAATCTCTGGGCGTGTACCTGCATCATATAGAGCATTGCTGGAACGCACAGCGTGAGGGGATAGATGGACTGATACGTGGCCAGGCAGAGAAATATGGCACTCAGGATGATATTTCCTACAACACAAGCAAAGGGTTAGTCGAACATAAAAAAAATAACAGTGAATTAAGCGAACGAACCATCAGAAATAATTATTCACACTCTGGCAGATATGTTTTTTTTTGTTCGTTAGAATTGAATAAATCAAAACAGACGTTATTAACAGGGAGACATAAATATGAACAAAACCAGCGGTCCACCTTTTATGGTGGTGAGGATGAAGAGCGCGATGACAGCGTTGTTCAGGCCGCAGGTGGACTTGGCCACACAGGAGAAGATGGTGAACGGGTTCAGGAGGTAACTACGAGAGAAGATAAAACAGCTAAGTTGCCGCCCAGCCCCTCAAACAGCTGCTTCCCTTCTCATTTCCGGTAAATGTACTCACAACATGGCCACTTTCAGGGGGATGTAGTACATTTCTCTGGGGCTCCTGATGAGCTCCAGGGAGTCCAGGGGGTAGCGGTCCGCCTCCAAGGCAAACTTCTGCTTCCTGAACTGGACAAAACCATAAAAAAAGGCAGTAGCTTTAATAAAAGGAAGAACGCTCAGGTCTCATCTAAATCAAGTGGGGGAAAAAAAAAGAGTCATATTCATTATCGTTTGTCATTTCTTTCTCACCACATGTTTGTTGTAGTCCTTCACCGCCAAGTAGAGAGCCACAGCCGTGATAGCATCGGCCAACTGAGGGGAGAGAAAACATGCTTAAAGCAGCATTTCCAGCTGAAAAGACGTATGAAACCTGGTGTTTACTCTGGATCAAAGTGAAAAAACTGAATCTGAAATGAGAGTCCTGTTTTGACATCAAAACACATCAATCTGTCCAAATACTCTCACTCACCATAAATGTGATCTCTGCATAATCCACCACAAAGTGAAACAGGTAGATAATGAGAGGCGTCTGGAGGAGAAAAGGATGGGGAATTAAAGGTGAAAGTGGACAAACGTGCAAACAGAGGGATGAAACAGCTCAATATCAACCGATCTACATTCTAACAACCTGACAAAAGCAAACAAAGAGACTCAAAAATGAAAGTTAATATTAAATGTAGGAACCTCACATTTGTGTATGTTTTCCAATCTCAAAAGCAACTGCGAGTAGGTTACAAAAAAAAGGAGGAAAAAACTTCCAACCTGCTCTCAGTCAACTCACCTCATGGAATACATCTCCAGAGTACGGAGACACTCCCAGGTCAAGTAAAGCCAAACCTTCCACAACTGTAAAGAAACAAAAATTTCACTCATTTTCTAAATTAATTTTAAGTCAGCAAACAACTGGGTAGATCTGCTGGGATAACTGGCTTGTAGGGTTAATCTAATATGATCATTTTACTGAATAATTGTTCTGTGGATGGATCACTGACATGGGCGATCAGCAGATGGAAACAAAGATGATACGTTGGGGTATTTTAAAAAGGAACAATACCGTTTTCATAGACGGGCAGAGACTAGAAAAGTGTCCTCATCCAGCTCCTTTAATTCTCGTATTTATTGTGCTGAGATTATGAAAATGATCTGCGTTTCCTTCCTGTGGTTTAGGCCTCATTATATTGTGTATCTGTACTTTGTTCTTCATCATACCAATCGGTGCACTAATAATGTTCCCCATGCACATTTTTAAAAAACATCCCAGCGGACTTGTTGCATAAAAATACAGAATAGTTTTATTACTTAGTGACAAGCAGGCACTGATTGAAGTAAAAGAAATCAGTTAAAGAAAACAAAGAAATTCGAGCTTTAATTCTCTCGGGCAGCTTTGAAAGTACAGAAATTGATAATTTCTCAGCTGCTAAAATGTGTCTCTGCAAAACGTTTATAACCTCCTTTTGAAAAAAAGACAAAAGTAGAATAAAGCTTCAGGTTTTGGTTGCCGAACCCGTTTGACGCCTCTCAGTTACCGGAAAGCCGCGTCGAAGTGACCGAGCAGGGGAGAATGGTGGTGTTTTGGCGTGAATGGCGGGTGGAGAAAGCTCGCTGAAAGCCGCTCACCTCTTTTCCAGGCAGTGATGGGAGACACCACCTCCACCCTCTCTGCAATCAGCTCCGCTAAACTGGATCGGAACAGAGCCGCGCGGATTGTAACAGCTACAATCAAAAGTAGAGTCAAGGGAGCCGCCATCTTGACCAGGAAGTTCTCTCCGCCCTGCGCGAAAAAGGCATGATGGGAAATGTGGTTTATTTTGCAATAACGTGCGGTAAAATCTGATCAGTGGCGTGACACTCTCAAACGAATAAATAAATAAAGGTGGAAATAAAATATATATGGATAAAAACCATTAAATTAGCATCATACAGTAGTAGTTTGTATGATTAAAGATTTTTTTGATTGTATGATTTTGAATACTACGTAGTAAATCGAATTGAGTTAAGTGGCTTTATTCAGTGTCATTAATAAACAATAGTATACGTTTTTCATCACGTTTTTTATGTGTATTGTATCTTCTTTTATTGTAAAATATTTTCTGGTAGACACATTTCATAATACTTGAAGTGGTAAGGGGAACAATGATTTTAGACATGTTTCCACTCGGAGACATAGGGTGTTGGATCATAACAAAAATCGGTTGATGATGTAAAGTTAGACAAAATAAAGCAAGGCTGTCGTCACAGGATACCTTCAAACCAAAATAAACAAAATCTATTGTTCAAAATGGCTATGTAATCGCTATGTTCCATCCATCATGCACAATCCAAATTACTCTAATTAAGATTACCGTAGTTATTACTGTAATTGTTATTAATGATTTCTTTTCTCTTTTTAAGTACTGATTTTTTTAAATTTTTTTTTTACAAGACATGTTTATTGTGTTTCATTGTAGAAAATGAGTATCTCTCTCGACGGCCTGAAAAAGTCAAACAATGCTTGCATGAATGCAATTTTCACCAACGTTGATCATTTTTGTTTGCTTCATTACCCACTTCCGCCAATAAAAAATAAAAAAATCATATTGCATATTAAACATAAACACGAACTAAGTTGTTCTGTTAAATTCCTGTTTTTTGTAGCATTGGTTTGCCGGTAATAAATAACGATGATAAATTCTGCGATAAGAACAGTGACCGGGGTTTCTGGTGCTCTTATTTTAAAGTCCGGTCACAGGAAGTAGCGACGGTTACTTTGAAGTTTGTGTAAAGCTATTTCAGGAGTTTCGTTTTCATTTCCTGGCCCGACGCTGTGTTGATGTCGCCACATTGAGGAGACATGGCAGGCTTGGAGGTGTTGTACACCTGTGTCGCAGGTAGCGTCGGCTGCCCGCAGGATGCCGTGGTGTGTTTCGTTCACTGGGAAATGATAAAGAACGGCTTCAGGTGTGTCGGCTCCGGGGACGAGGTGAGTCGAGCCCGCCAACGGTCGATGTTTTACACCTGTTTTTAGCAGCAACGGCTGCGAGCATCAGCGACGAGCAGCACAAAACGCAACCCATGTCAAATTGCTGTGTCACTAATGGAGCATTTACATTTTTATTTGTGGAAACTGCTCCGTTTTAATGTAGCTGAGTTTTTTTTAAAGGCTAAAAAGTAAAAATAACCATATAAAAACATAATGAAACTTAATTTGCTCTTCAGTTATATGCCGAACTGGGTGTGAAAAAGCAACAATTCAATCAAAAATGTTTTCTTTTTCTGATTTGTATTAATTTTGAGCAAAACAAGAAAAAAAGAAATATATATATATTTTCCCAGTGGAATTCTGCACGAGCTAGGTTGCTTCCTCCATTAGGTTAGCTCTGGCTTTCGTTATGAGCTGTAACACTTTATTATACTTCATATAATCAAAAGCATTTGTCTGGCAGGCGTGTTTTTATCATCGATCGATTTAAATGCCATGTTCGGAGCAAATGAAAACGGAAATGGTTCTGCAGTAAAGGTCGAACAGACTGTAAACAAAAACTGTCATGTCATCTATAGCAGGCTAGTCCGGTGGGGCCAGGAGGTTCTGCACACTTCTGTGGGCTCTAACCCCTTCTCAGTGAACCTGTTAGTGTGTCTGAGTTTGCTCTGTGTCTGTCCTCCTGCAGCCTCGCAGCAGCGATAAGAAGTCTGAGCTTCTGCCAGCAGACTGGAGCAGCAACAAGGAGCTGTACAGCCTCCGCTACAGAGCCACCGACTCAGACACACATCTGCTGCTCAAAGCCATCACTGTGGACTCAGCCATCATCTTCAACCTAATGGTGGGCACTGGAACCTTTCAGCCTGCTTGTTTCAACCCCAGCCAGCTTCTAGAGATGTTTTGAATTAACCCTGTCCAGGCCAGATTAGTGGTACACACGAAATACTTGTGATCAAATGATACCCGCAGGGTAGAAAATAAGGAAAAATACTAAAACTGCTTGCAAGTGAAGTTTATTTGTGTGACACATTTCAGACACAATGGCAACTCCAGGTATTTTACAAAGGCATCAGGGTGGAATACATGCATTAAAAATACACAAATAACCATTTCGATGTGTTATCGGACAGAAAAGGATTAAAAACAAAGAAATAGTGAAAACAGAGCAGGAAAATTCAACAAAGAAAAGACACTGGAACTGACTTAAATTTAAATTTGCCAAAAGTTGGGGCAGGTTCGGTATCCAGAGGAAGTTTATTCCATCTATACCGCTGCATCGACAGACCCACTTTTCTCTACATAGACATCCAAGCGATATTAGATTTGTTTTTCACACCTTTTTTTGATTGCAGAGCTTTTGATTCAAGGAAGCATATAATGTATATGACTTAAAGAAGGTTGTTTTTTTTGTATAGCGCCTACATGCAATTTCACTCTGTCTGGTCGTAAATCAATTTCCTGTAAGACGAGTTATACTTAAAGACCTCAGGGCTCTACTTGGTTAATATTCTTCAAAAATATCAGCTATGTATAGTGGCCTTGCGTTGAGGGATTTGTGAACTAGCACTTTAATGTCTCGCAGCTTGAAACAGGACCAATGAGCTGTTTTCTGATTCTTGTTAGAACTCTGGCTAAAGCTTTTTTTTTTTTTTGGGGAGCCCGGTTCCTGATTGAAAGCATTTGTGTGTGACGTGTGTTGTTGTTCTGCTTGTGTGTGTGTTTAAAGAACTCCAGCACGCAGCAGGTGTCAGACTTGACGGTGAACGTTAGCGATCACGTGAACGCCGATCAGCTGCAGACATTCGACAGGTCGGTGCTCCAGCGTTCATAACTCGCTCCGGTTATCCAAAAACCGGCATCACATCACTGTGTCTAGGCTTTTCCTCATTAGAAAAAGAGACAAAGAAAAGTTAGACAACAAAAACAAATGTTCTGAAGGGCTACACCACTTGTTTCTACAGTTTAGTTTGGTCCATATTCTTTTAGCTAGATCAGGTCTTTAGATGTTTCCCTGCTTCCACTCCCCCGTTTTAAATCAATTCAGCAATTGAGGAGTCCATTTAAAGTGAATCAGGTATGTTGAGGCAGGGAAACATCTAAAACCTGCACGGCCACCGCAACGCTTGAGGACTGTGCTCGTCACACCAACTAAGTCCAGTTAAGGACAGTTTCCTTCATCTATATTTAGTCGTCGGCTGTCTTCATGAATCCCGTCTCTTCTTTGCAGCGTCTTCAAGGACGCGGTCAGTTTGTCAGAGAAGGTGAGGACTCAGCTCCTGCCCTCCCAGGGGAGGCAACCGGGACAGAAGGCGGAGCGGTCCAGCCAGAGGATGGAGGAGGAGGAGGCCCAGAGGAGGCGGGAGGAGGACAGCGACCCCCTCCGGATCCCCGGCAGACACCCCCGCCAAGGAACACAACCTCACTGGTCAGCTATGATGAGAACCTGGGAAACCCGCTGCCCTGTTATCCATGATTGGAACTCGTTCTCTGTGATTTAATGTTCAGCCGCTTCCTCTATATGCCTGTAGCTGCATGTTAGTGTTCCCCGAGCAAAGAGAGAAGCAGACGGGAGGTAGAAGGTTAAAGGCAGAGCTGTAGATCTCTGCAGGATCCAGAAATCCACAGTCTGGGTTTTGTTGAATGACACCATTGAAGTTTTAAGTTTGAAATGACAGATTTGTGCCCCTGACTCACAGCTCTGTCTGTAAGCTGAGTTTAAATGCGCACATGCCTTAAAGAGCAGAACCTAAACACACTACTCTACCAGGACGATTCTGGTTCCTTCTGTTTAGTGCAATTTTCCGCACAAACAACTTGATCTTTAAACGGTAACACGAGAACGGCGGTGATTTCACAAGCCGAAACGGTTCAGTGTTCAACAAGTGGTTGGAGCTGGAATCCACAAAGCTTTGATGTGACAGCACTCTGCTGTTATCAGTGTTCAGAGCGGACAGACCTCTGGATGTGCTGAGCCTGGAACCTGTGGGTCTCACAGGAAAACTTCCTTGATCACACCGTATCTTGCGCTTTAATCCAAGCGTGAGACTTCTCTATCGAATGCACAGCGTGCGTGCTTCAACCTTTCAGGCCTCTCACAATGGACACGCAGAAGAGAAAAAATTGAATGTGAAGAATGTAAAAAAAGTACATTTGTTAAATATTTAATTTGGTTAAATAAGGTTAAAACCTAAAAAGAATAAAAAACAAACAGAAGGAAAGCCATCTACTGAAGAAACTCAACAAATTGGGTTGATTTAAAGCCTCTGATGTTTCCATCTAAAACATAGAACCAGGACACACCTGTGTCTGAGAACAACATGAAAAGCTTGAAGTCGCAGCTTTTTTCACAGAGCGAGTGTCTCAAGGCAGCTTGTCCTCCCTACAGTGATTCTAAAGGCTTTTCTGTTCCACTCCACAATTAACGACAACACTTTGGAACACGAGACGCTGCCATCATCACTGTCTTTCACTTCTTGCATCACTCTGGCTCTCACTTCAATTGTCCCATTACTGAAAACAGACTTTTTTTTGCTCTAAATGTATTTATACTGTAGCTGTAATGCTGTAAAAAACCTGAAGAATATTCAACCTTTTCTCTTCCGTCAACATCCTTATAGGCGGTGCTAGTTTCAGTCTGAGCAGCAGACTTTGCCTTTCACTCCCTGTCTCCTCTGCCCCCCCCCCCCCCCCCCCCCGTTCCCCGTCCTCCTCACCGTGACCCGATGGGAGGAGGTGCGGGTTTATGTCCGCGCTTTATGGGCCCCGCCGCTGTGGCCTGCTGCTCTCCAGAGAGGAGGAGAGCCAGGGGAGATAAGCACCAGAGCCCAGTGACAGATGGAGAGAAAGTCCCCTCCCAGAGCAGTGGGGGGAGGGATTAAGATAAGAAAATCACACACCAGAGGGGACGAGAGGGTGAAAGAGATACAGAGCGATGGATGAGTGGACTGAGGCGGCTGCTGAGAGCAGAGAGAAGAAAGAGGAGATAAAGGAGATGATGGGAATCATTCAGAATGTCTGAGGCTGAAAGAGAGACATTAAAAAGCAAACGTTTAACGGCTTTCCTGGGAACAATCTGTTGTCCTGGTTATATATGATGTCATCAACAATGCTTCGGTTTAAAGGGGATATTTTATAAGATGTATTTTTACTGCTTTTATTAGATATTATTTTAATACCAAGTTGGAATGGGGTTATTTGCTGTCTTGAGGAAATGTTTTCATGTGGATGCAGACTTACCTCATAAATATGCTAATTTATTCACAAAAAGCCAGTTGTTTCCAGTCAACTGCTGAATGTTGTAACAAAGCCCATGTTACTTTTTAAAAGTAGTAATATTAGTAATATTTAGAGATCAAATGTCTTGTTTGACCAAAAAACACCTACGAATCCAGTCAAACTGTAGAAAAGCAGCCATTTCTCACATTCAGCGAAGATTCAGCCAAGCAGAATTGTTGGTTTTTATTTTTAAAAAAGGACTTTAATGATGGATTATTAGTGCTATGATAAGGTCTGTGTATCCTCTGTTTATTAACAAAAAAGACTTTCAATGGGTAAAATTTTGCATTTCCTTTTTTAGTACTAATGCAAACCACGGCTTTACAGATGTATCTATTACTGATTAAATCTTCACCTTACAGTTAAATCTCTGTTTCCTTTTTCAGGCCCGACCCCATGGTTCCTCCATTTGCAGCCGGGGGAGCTGATCTGGATCCTTTTGGGTGAGTTGTGTCATCCCTCGTTACAAGCTCCTAAAATTATGTTTTAGAAATAGTTTTCCTGCTCTGGCTTTGTCTGAATCTTTGGGCTTACAGACTCTTTCTCAGAGATCTCTCTGGACCTGCCTGCTGTTTAAAGCTTTTAGTAGATGAAGCCTGACTGGAGTTAATGAAGCTGTGATGCTCTCAGTCCTGTCAGGGCAGCAGATATCACATCCGGTTAGCTCTGATTCCTGTTGGAGGACTCTGAAGTCCTTTGGTTGGTTCTCCCGTCAGACCTGAACCCACCTGAGACCTTAATGGCTTTTAGTCTCAGGAAAAAGTCGTACTTCCACACACAGAAACAGACATGAAGATTTTTTCAAAATCAACTATTAGATTCATTGAAATTTAGATGAAACTCTTGTTCAAACTTTTCTTATGATGTATTAATGTCATATTAATGAATTTAACAACTCACTGAAACCGTTTTTGATTTTGTAGCCTGTTATTTCTATTTTGCTGTTTCATTTGCTGCTATTTTTTTGCTTTTATCTCTGATATTTGATCTTGTTCAACTGTAAAAGACTGAAGGAGCGTGGCAGCGTTCCCCGGCTCACCTCCTCCCCCCCCCCCCCCTCAGATCTCGTGGCGGTGGCGGGATGATAGTGGACCCGTTGAGGTCGGGATACCCCCGGTCTGGTTTTGTACCGTCCAGCGGCATCCCGGACATCCTGCCCCCCGGAGCCGTCCCCCCCGGAGCTCGCTTCGACCCGTTTGGGCCGGTGGGACGCCACAGGCCGGGGTGAGACACCCGCCCCACCTCTGTCTCACCGACGAGACAATGGCACGGCTTTATTCTCAGATAAAACTCTAAAACACAACTTAATGAGCGATCAAATATGAAGATACAGTAGAACCTCTACATAGGAATTTAATTTGTTCCGGGACCTACTTCGCATGTTAAAATATTTGTATGTTGGTTCAAATATTCCCATAAGAATACACTGTAATTCCTATAATTCGTTGGAAAATTCATATGTTTAGGCAATCGGAGGTAGAGCTTCTGCTGTAGTGTGGTTCTGTCCTGCTCACTTTAATTCAACATCACCTTTCATCAAGTCATTTCTAGATGCTTATTAACAGTATTATATTGTGCGACATCCGTGTTAATTATTCTCTGTAGCAGGATGAAGGATTCAGCTCATGAGACGTCTTTTTGCTCTCAGCAGGCCATTTGTGTCACAATCTTTTGTGTTCGTTTTTTCCACCTCCGTTCAAAATGTGGGGTTGTTATTAATCTGTGATGCTAGTGAAGACGCACACCAGCTTGTTTTGAAGCAATAGGCTGGCTGATGCAGAAGAAAGGGGTAGAGGAGTCATGATTTGGACAAAAACGTGGCTCTTTTGTGCCTTTCGGGACACCGGGCCTCTTCAAAACGGAAGGAATTAGCTTACGGTGATCAGTTTTTAGTTTTATGTTCAGAAGCTCAGGCAGATCTGATGTGTTAATACCTGACTCCATAAGGGAAATGATCAGATCCCTGCTGTTTTGAGGTAATTCGGGGCCTTGCTGAATACAAACGACTCATGCTCGTCCTCTTTGCGACCCCCCGGTTGGCTTTGTCACGTCTGCTGCTGGTTGATTTGCATGAAGAGCGGAGGAGCCAGATCTGATAGCCAGCGCGCCTCACGGGCCTCTGAGGCTTTTTATACATGCCCGTTTCTTTTCTCGTCTGGCTTTCGCTTCAGAAATAAACGCTAATCAGCGGCGGATCCGAGCGGGTGGAACAATACGGCCCATTCAGCTCAGACCCACGCGGGGCTGAGTCACAGCCTCACTAAAGGGAGCGCCGTGCTCCGAGGGTTTTCATACACAAGAGCAGGTTCAGTGAGCGGATTTCACCTCACAGGTGGTCTGAGTGAGGCTGAGCGAGGGTGAGCCGTTAACTGGCCACTCCAAGTTGACTCGGAAGTCTGAACGGCCCCATTTTCTGACGCTATTTGACAAAAGAATTAGAAAAACCCAGCTTTTCTGGGGAATATAACTGTACTTACAGACACTTTGTGTTTAGAAAAAGCCATAAGTTGGAACTTTAAAGAAGAAAAGGGAGATCTGAGTGTTCGTCCTGGTTTAAAAAGGCTGGATTTGGTGGGAATGTGGTTCTAAATGTTCTAAATGCCCAGTTTTGGTCAGACTAACACAATAATTATTTCATTTAGTGCCATGTAAACACTCAGCTACACTGCTAGCCGCTGAATGTGAGAACAAGGAGCAAAAGCCTGATAAACAACAAAAAAATTTCTAAGATGAACTCACAAATCCACAGTTTTAATCCTTAAGGAGGTAGGAACCCTTCAGTTCGTGTTCATCAAACTGAAATGATCCATCCTGCCAAAAATCCCGAGCTCTCAGTGACCGGTTGGACGTCAGCTCAGATGTCTGCTGAAGTCAAAAAGGCTCTGAAGTGAAGTGAGGCGGATTAGATCTGGTTTTAGTCAGATGCTCTCTGAAACTGAAGAGAGAGATAATCTCCCCTTTATTCTGCCGCTGCTGTGGGTAATAGATGATTTCTAACCAGGCGTTCTCTTCTTCTATTCTTTCAGGCCGGATCCGGACCACATGCCCCCGCCGGGGTACGATGACATGTTCATGTAGCCACATTTCCTGTGTTTCTGAGACCGAAAAGTCTGAGTTCCTTCAGTGTTTTCTGACTTCTGATTCCCAATTATTCTGACAGAAAAAACCAGTGAGTGATTTGAAAAGAGAAAAAGGAAACTCTGTGACCACAGTAAACATGTTTTGAACATTTGTGGCTGTCTTTTGCTTTTAAACGGGCCCATTGTGGAGCTCACACTCACCTAAATACTACAAGAATATTAAGATTGAAGTCTTCTTCTTTCTGAATGATTGATCTTCAAATTGATCTCATTCTTAGCATTTATTAATAGGAGAACATTTATTTGAATATTTTGTATTTCTGTTAGATATTTTGGGGGGGGTGTTGATTGAATAACACGGCTTTCTAATTATCTTCTGGCAAAAAAAAAGAATAAATCTCTGGCTTTACCCTCTGTTTTTGTTGTCATTGTTATTTTCTGATGCCTTGTTATTGGATAATTGCACAAACTGTTAAGTTAGCTGCATGTGGAATCCTTAATCCTTAAAAATTAGCATGTCGCCACTCCCACCGCTGTCTCCTCCGCATCTGTTTAGCTTTTTAAAACTTTTTAATTGGATATCTCATTACTTTCTGCCCTGCAGGGCGCCCGTCTCCTTTTTCTGTCTGGACGTACAGGACACTCAGACAGATACGGCCTCTGTGGAGCTCTTTTCTGAGGTGCTTGTTAGAGGGAAAAAGAAACAGCGTGAGCTACAAATGGCCCCGGAAAACGGGAGGCTCTAACAAGGTGTGTGGAGGAGAGCAGGTGTAAATTGGACGCCCCGGCAGCTCGCTGACAGCTTTGAGCTGCGATGGCGTCGTCTGCATGTTCACATCCTGAGGTTCTGGCAGCTTTCCAACCGCCCGTTAAATCCGATTAGATGTCAAGCGTTTCGGCGAGATGTTTTCTCGTACGGCAGAATGTGCACCATCACCCACGGGAAGGCAGTTTGATAGGATTTCTTCGCGGGTTTTAGGATTTCTTGGAAATTAGGAAGACAATTCCTTTTCTGTGCATCAAATGAAATGCCTCATTTAAGTTTTTATAGGTTTCAAATGAGCTGAGGTCAAAGCAGGCCGATCTGTAAAATGGCCACAACTCTAGTCCGAGGCCTGGATGGTCTTATTAATTATTAATGAACTGATAATTGATTAATAATGAAACCTTTATGATAAGAGTGTTTATCATCGGTTTTACACTTAGATCAACACTTCTCTGCTCTCTCCTCAAGTTATCTTCTTTTTAATCAGCCCTAACTTTAAAATATTCATTTGAAACTTCTTTTTTTTTTAACTATTCAGCCTTTTTTAAATGTCATATCATCACTTCAAGAACTACACAAATACACCATTTAAAAAGTAATTTGAGCATCAGAGGAAGGGATTTTTTTCCAACCCTTTCTCTTAAAATAGATTGGACGATGCTCCCAACTCGACTCGTCTCCTAACTTGAATGAAAGTAGACATGCTTCCCTCAGATCAGCAGCTCATGTACCTGTGCGAGTAGACGGAGAGGTGAGGCTTTCATTGAGTCTTCAGCTATCCCGACAGACATCATTAGCCACCCTCACATCAGAGCGGCGACACTTCCAGAACAACTCCGGGAAACAAGAGTGTGTTTCTGTTTAATTCAAAGTCCTTAAAAGACTGAAAGCGATAATGAAACGGCGACGGAAGGAAAGAAACCCTGTTAAACCTCGACACTTTAAAGCCGAGGAAGCAAACGCTGCTCACCTGGGAGGGAGAAAGGAAAGACAAAAAAGACAAGAGGAGAGCACACCCGCCTTAAAAACCACAGCGAAACAGAAACTTTATTGGTCACGTTAACAAGGTCAGACTTGAAACCAGCCGATCAGCATAGTCATTTCAAACAGGAACAAGGCGTCTGCGTCACACACCAACAACATGCAGATGTCCTCCTGACACACACCTGACACACACCTGACACACACCAGGTGGCAGCTCTGAAAACCACAGAGGTGGCAGGGAACGTGGAACTGTCAGGGGACATTTTAAAACTTTACATTCATCCTCATTTGATATCAAACCACGTTTTTCTCAGAGGAAACCTTCACAGCGTTGATTCACTTTATGCTTTTGTGGAACTGTACAACAAGTAACTGTGCTCTTCACAAAATACAAAACCGAGCCCAAGATAGGGACCCAACATTTCCCATTTGGAATAAATAAAACTCCATAAATGCTCTTTACTCTTATGTAATGAAACATCTCACAACCAAGTATGTCGATTCCTGAAAGAAAAGAAAAAACAGCGTGTCGTCCTTTAGATGTGTCACATAAAATATAAGTCAGATTTTAAGCAAGAGTTTGAAATTAAATGAAAATGTGACAGAAAAAATGACAAAATGTTTAAAGAACGAGCAAAAGCACGCTGTAATGTCAGGAGCAACTTCCTCCTTTATTACAAAACTAAATGACATGAAAAACCGCCCCAAAAAACGAGAATTAGTCAGAATGTCTGCGCTCAGCTAAGGCTTCTGTAAATATTGGTGTTTTTTTTATTTTTATGTTGCAATAAACAAACATAAAAACCAAAGAAAAAACACATAAAATGCATTGAAGAGTCACTAATTACCATAAAAACAAAGCAGCCAGAAGCTGACAACATTTTTAGCCAGATTCAATTTTAAGTCGTCTACAAACTGGAGACAAAAGGGAGAATTTATTAATCAGTTAAGAAATAAAAAAGAAAAATTACTTTAGAACCTGCCTGCTCTGAAAGAACCTCATTACTTTTAACTCACATTAAACTTTTTAAACGTCATATTGCAGTAAATACTGTACATTCAATCAATAACTGATATTTATAGATTTTTATTGAACTGCATGGAAATTTGGTTCACTTATATTTATTTTTCCGTCGATAAATGTTTTCATAGATTTGTCATATAAGATAAACCTCTTAAAATGAAAGTGTTATACCCTTCTAATGACCGTTTAGTGAGCTAGGTTTTGTGCTAAATGTCTCATACACTGATACAAACAGACAAATAACTCGTTTAAAACATTCATTTTCTTTATACATTTCATAAACTCCAGTGTCCGTAGTTTCCCTCTGGTTTCCTAGAGCAATATTTCACCGGGATGGAACATTTTTTTCCCAGACTTGATGCATACATTCATGAACAGGCCACCCCCGGGGCATCTGTCACCCCCTTTAGATCGATAAAGGGACCGATAAATAGGTTATAACTAACACAAAAAAAGACAGAGATTATTAACAAAAGAAAGGAGCAGGAAGTCGATTTTATTCCCGTCGAAAAACGTTCGTTTTGAGGAGTTCCCAGCGAGCAGATCGGAATTTTTCACGTTTCCTTACGCGTGTCTCAGAGAGAATTACCCCTCCTCTGGGAAATATCACCTCATCTCCATCAACATACGTCTATTAACTCTGCACATTTGAGTGTGAGTGAGAGAATCGGGGGGGCCTGGACATGGCTGTGTGGCGGTAGTGTGATGGTGCGTGACCACGCTGCAATGCGCCACCTCACCGGCTTCTACATTCACGGAGTCTCCGGGTGTGAGGCAAACGGCTGTGTGTCCGGGTTGTGCGCGTGCGGTGTGTTGCTTTTTTTTTTTAAAGCCGGTGATGGATGAGACCGAACTCGGGGTCAGGACCCCCGAACTCTGCTGAAGTGCCCTTGAGCGTTGCCCTGAATCCCAAGCAGCTGCTCAGCCCTTAAAGGTGAGAGCGGTTTCTGGTGTTTGGGTGCTTTAAACCCACCTCTGCAGATGCAGAACTGCTTATTTTTCCTCATTTTAACAATCCAAAACGAAACGCTATGCTTAGCTTAACTTACACACCATAGATTTAACCCCTTGGATGACAAGATGGCGTCCATTCATTTTCTTACGGTCAATGATGTACAGGACACTTTTCTTTTTACCTATGAAATGACATATCTGAATATCCCAGTGAGAAATGGGTGAGGGGGGCCTACCTCTGAGGCCATTTCCCTAACATGGACGCCTTTTTGAAAGCCATCACACTGGACAAAGGGTGGGTTTTTCCAGATGGAAGTTGGCCTGTAGGATATCAAAGGAGACCAGAATTGTCTCAGGAATTGATCACTACACTCAGATTTACAAGATTTCTTGTGGTTCAGGGGTTATCAACACAGAAAGCTGAGACAACAAACGGGGTGGTTGCCTTTAAACCTGTTTCAGCACCATGGAGAGCGCATCCAATTCAATAAAAATCCGTCGTTTCCCCTTTTGTTTATGAAATAAAATGGTGTCCTGTTACTTTGGACTCACCCTGAATTATTGCCACCTTAAGACCCCACAGAACACAAATACATCAATAAAGTCACAGAAAAAGGATTTGTCTACAGCTACAGAACTGAAAAAGTATTTAAATATAAAGCATTCAAACAAATAGTCTAAAACTGTACTAAAACTGTAAACCTTCAAAATACAAATTCATCATGATTGCCCTTAAAGCCTAACGTTTGATACCATCCATTCAATCAAATACTGACCCTCTCCCATCACACACAAACACACACTGCTTAAACTCATTTTAGGATATTCTCTTAAGACATAAGATGTGTAAACGTACTATGCTTCCTAATGTGAAAACCAAAGAAAACTCTGGACTTATCCTCAATCTAAAATCTAACCTCTGAGCTGAGTTGGTCAATTTTTTCCTTTCTTCCTGAGGATGAATAAAGGCTTCTTTTTTTTTGTTGCTTTGGAATAATCCACATAACTTCCATGAAGGCAGACTGTGAGGCTCCTAATCTGGATGGGGCTCTGCTTTTAGAAGGCTGAATTTTGCCTCTTCCGCGTCCTCACAAGGACTTTCTGTGACATCGGAGAACTGCTCCGGCTCCGGTCCTCGATATAAATAGACTCTCTGTGGTCGCGCAGTCATTGTGCTGCATCCAGAATAGAGATTGATTTACTTTTGTGCCACCAGAGGAGGAGGTGCTCCTGTTCGGTCATTCGGACATCCAAACACGCCGGATGGGAACCGTGAGGAGTTGTTTTTTTACTGACCCTGCTGTGCTCCGATTGTAGTAAACATCCATTCATGTTTTTAAATACAAGCTAATTTTTCACGCCTCAGCAAAAAACGACATTCATCCCACACATGACGATACATCTTTAGACTCACACTCCAATACGAGCTACCAATTCACAACCTGGACACACACACTTCAACAACAGCTGGTGTGTACAAAAGAGTGTTGTGTATTAATTGCTTCGTGTGTGTACAAAATGAGTTTTTGGGCATGAAAATGCACTTTTAATGCAGATCCGTTCCAGACCCGTTTTGGTGTACTTAGCTGCTTGAGGCTAGTGGGAGGTGACCCACTTCCTGTGCTCTCTCTCCTTATGCATCTCATCCTAACAGTCCAGATTGAACTTTTTGCCTTACTGATTGTTTACATTCCACCTTTTTGTGCCGATTTCAGCCTCAAACGGAAGCAAAAAAAAATCAAGAGATTTAGTTTAAACAACATTCACGGGATTCAAATGAGTGACTTTGCAAAAATAAGCAACATTCCAAGCAGTTCAGGTTAACATTAGACATTTCCAAACCTCAGAATTTGGATTTTGGCATCTAAAACCAGGGGAATTCCTCCTTAAGAGGGTTTTAATAAATCTACCAGTCCATGCAGCCTCACTCACATCTGTGCATCTATAATGTCCGAGGCTGTGCTTCCCCAGCTAACGACGGCTAGCAGGCCCACCAGAATTAATCAGGACCCCACCCCCCCCGACAAAAATCAGCACCAGACGCCTGGCCTGCTAAAACCTTCAGCTGAGTGATGTCAGACTCTTCCTGCTTGCTGAGAGGTGAGCAGGGACTCAGCGTCTCATTACAAGCAGCTGGCCTCATGCCTTGGCACTCCGTATCCCTGCAGGCGGCCCGAAAATCCACCTCTTCAACAATCACCTCACGTCATCCAGCAGCCCAGCTGCGTCCCCACGCCTCGCCCACATCCTGCTCACAGAGGCCCATCTCCAGCCTCCAGACTCCAGTCTGGGTTCACAGAGAGCGAAACACGATCCTTGTAACGACATTTTCATCCGTAGCAACACATCCTAACCTGTAATTCATATAATTCTCCATGTGACAAATGCTGATTAAAGCTAATTTTACACACTTGTTTACGACTTATGCATATGCATTAAAAATGAGTGGAAATCCCTCACAGCTGTTTGTTAACGGATGCTTTCCCGCTGCAGCGAACACCAGTAGATCCCCACTTATGATGGATCATTATTTAACTATGAGTCCGATTCGCTCTCGACCTCAGACCGAGTTCTTTTCCTTTAACATTAGAGCCTCATGACGCCCATTAAGAGTCCACGTGCTGCCTCTAATGACAGAAACTGCAGGTGAACTGTAAAATGGCAGCAGTCGGGTTGTCACAAATGCACATATCTCTAATGTGGAGTTGTGGTAATAGACCCTGGACAGACGGAGACGAAGGAGAAAAACAAACACCCGAATTCACTCCTACAATAAATCTGACATGTATCTTACATACATTTTCTTGGTCAGTGGGACAAAGGCTAAGAACCACGCAGACAAGGGAACCACATGCAAACTCCAACATTCCCATTCACGCTTCAAGATGGAGATTTAAAACTGTTATTTCACAAAAATGATTTTGAACTGAGCATCTATGTAATCTGTTTTTTTTCGGTCCAATTTGATGTGTCAGAAATAACGAGACGTTTTTGCAGCTGCCAGAGATCTGAGGGCTGTTTTTCTACTCACGGACACTTCAGCAGAGGAATGAAAAGAGACCAACAGTCCTGACAGGAGATATGACAGAGGACAGAAAAATATGGAGGATTTCTGCCGTAACTGACACTCCGGTCAATGGTTGCCTTCAAACGTGATCACAATTGAGACAATGAAAAATTCCCCAGTTTAAAAGGTTCTCCAATTCAATGTTTCCAGCCACAAAATGTTGATATTTTCTATTCGGACAAATATTTTGACAAAAAAAACCATGTTGAAATTGAGTAATTTTTGAATAATTTCATGGGGCGTAATCAGTTCTTCATGGTCTCACTTTTACAACATCTCGAGTCAATGATACATAATCTCTGGCAAATAAATAAAAGGTAACCATTTATGCATTTTCTCAAGAAATCCTCCTTTTTTTAAGATCAACACACACATCAACGTTCTGCATTGAGAGAACAATCCTTGTTAACTGAAGATGATAAGCTAATGAACCTGCCATCACCTCCTCTTCTAACAGATAATTGGATAGCTACCTGTGATGGGCCCTTTGGGCAAAAATTTCTTTGATATTTTCTTTCTCTTCTCAAAGCTGTCAGCTTTGATCTGTTCGGTTGTGTTCAGAGAGCTGCTATCAGAGCAAAATGACTCTGTGTGTGATGAGGAATTCTGCTTTTTGGGTCCTTGTGTTGCCCGACATTTTGGCCCCCGAGGACACAAACAGGTGTGTGTGTGTGTGTGTGTGTGCATGTGTGCGTTTGTGTGGCCACGTTACCCGACTGGCTCACTAAACACTCTGGAATACATTAGTATAGTAACATTAGTGTATACACAATTTACAGCGTGTTTACTCGTTAAGGCGTATTGTATCCTTACATGACATAAATAACATCGCTTTATACGTTAATACAGATAAGCAGGTGACGAGTTATTAAAGGCTCATTCCACTCAAAACCAGCTTCTTGTTCCAAACTATGTCAAGAGCCTTAAAATGAATTATTATATACTTCTAATATTGAATCCAGCTCTTTTATATACATCCTGGTTACAATCATTGGTGGTTTTTAGCTATATTTACGCTTACATTGTCCTAAGGTATGGTTCGAATTACTTGTGCCTTCCTCTGATTCATGGGGAGTTGGACTTTTTACTCAAAAATATCCGTGCCTTTGAATTTAAAATTTTTACACAAAAAACAAGATGATATTTCAAGAACCAAAACATGAAATTAAGCTAACAGTAAACGCAAGTGACAAAAGAGACGATTGAAACCCTCAAAGTTTCACGATTCTGGTGTGTTTCTTTATCCCGAAACCTTTCCAGTAGTTTGTTGGTTCCAATGAGGGAAAGTCTAAGTCAGGGATACTTTTGATGACAATTCTAATGTGTATAAAAAAGTAATAATAAGAAAGCTTGAAATAGAATCCAAATAAGCCTTAAAAAAGCCTAACAAACCCATTCATGATGGCCTGATATGTAATGGAAGCGATCACAGGGGTTAATATTTATTATAAGAGCTGCTTCTTTTCTGCAGGTTTACTTACGAAGCTGGACTTTGATGCTTTTCTTACAGCAGCAGCAGCACACGGGATTGTTTCACGTGTTGGATGTGACACTGAAGTGGCGGTTTTCACCGGGAGACAAGCAGCTGCTGAAGGCTGTCAGAAATGGAAATGTGCAAACCCGACGCAACACTTTTGGCTTTTGCAGTGTGCGGCGACGGGCGTGTGACATTTAAATCTTTGTGCATGGGTTGACTTTCTGAAAAGCAGAGTCTCATCTGAGGCGGCATTCAAGTTATACGTCTAAATTTGCCACATTTTTTGCGAAACTCTGATGTTTGCAAATCTTTTACCGTCAAACACATCTGCGATCTGTGATAAATGACCTCATCTCAAAGCAAAAATGGATTTAGTTTGGAAGAGATGAAGCTGGAATGAAAACTCCTCATATTTTCCCCATATCCTGGTTTCCGAAAATGACTTGGACCCAATACTCAGTAATCTCTTAAAGTGTGAAGAAAAGCAGCAGGACAGAAATGTGCTATTGGTTTGCGGAGGCATATTTGTGAGGCATATTTGTCTCTAAACAGCAACAAATCACGGTAAACCCTCGATTTGAGCTTTTTTTTTTTTATCATGGGGGGATTAAGCTATAATCAGCCCTGAAAGGCAGGCTTTTGTCCACGTATCCAAAACATAGCTGAAGCACACAACAGAGTTTCAGAATTATTATCCGTTTATCCAAACCTGTAGTCAGTTTCTTTTTTTTTTAAATGAACCCAGCATTGCCTTTTCTGTGAGCAGTTTTGAAAAAAGAGGTTGTTGGACAACATTGGAATGAATGTCTCCTTATATGGTTTATCTGTGTTAGTTTGTGGTGTAATCCCTCCATCCAGCCCACATTTCATCGTATAGTTGTTTTTTAACATCGAGTATTAGTAAAATATCCCATGTGGGACATTTGATAATGGAACTTTATCATACTAATGATATCAATGAGATGAAATATGAGGATAAAGCTCTATGATATGAAAAAGAACCATCTGAGAACCTGTCTGCCCACTTTAAAGTAAATGCTTTATACGAGCACCAAAAAGCAAAAAGCTGAAAGAGGCCACAAAACAGCCCACGTGACTCCGCTGTGTTACTAAATAACAAATGTCCCTTAATGCAGACTTAAACTGCTCCTTCTTCTGGTCCATGTTGTTTTTTCTCTGCTCTTCTGTTGCTGCTGGTGAAGGCAAATGCTGCTTTAAAAGGGTTGCCTCCGCTCAGAACGCCCGTCGCACTTTACTCGACCGAAAAACGCCCAAAAAAGCCCTGCTCGCTTTTTTAAAAGGCTGCGGAATCTACCGGATTTGTGGTGCTATTCACAGCAACGTGAGGTGGAGACAGTCTGTGTGTTCTGACGCCGTCGTGTGAGACGGGACTGAATCTGGAGCATCGTTTGAACGTGTGAAAACGTATGTGAAAACATGTCGTTCTGGTTTTTTGAGCCTCTCTGATTAAGTGAAGTGGGTTTTAACCTGGAGACATCCCACCGTCTCTGGATGTGTGGCTAATCTCCGCGGTGCGGGCTTACCTTTCTCTATCACCAGACCGAGCCCTCTTCTGCAAAGTCAAACGTCTCTCGTGATTGATTGGAAATAAATCTGGGCCTGCTGGGATGAGGCCGGGTCGCTCCCCCGCAGAGACTCCTGCTGGACTTGTGCTTCTCCTGTATGCAGAGGCGGAGGGGCCTCTCTGCACACCCATAATGCACCTGGGCACCCGCTCAGTTGAAGGCGACGCGTCCGTGCGTTTGTGTCAGACTCCGCGTGTGGCGGCTGAGTTGGTGGCGGTGGGGGGGGGCCTGCTCGGTCCCGGTTCACATCTGGGGTCCCGGCTGGACCCGGGCTGCCTGTCCGCCCGCTCCACCAGAAGCTCCTCGCCTCCGTCCCCCCCGCCGTCCGTCCCGCCGTCCCCCCCGGCGGCCAGCTCCTTCATCCTCAGGTGGATGGAGCCGTAAGTCCTCTTGGGCCGGACGAAGGCGGCCCGGCGGCGGCGGTACATCTCGCCCCGGCAGATGGACACCATGAGCAGCACGGAGAGGAACATCCCGCCCAGGGTCAGCAGGCCCAGCCCCGCGATGATGCACTTGTCCAGGTGGGCGCCCAGCCGCGCGTAGTACATCTCCAGCCTCTCCATCTGCCGCGCCGACACCGAGTCCGGGTCCACCTTGGCCTCCCGGGGGATGGTGTAGGCGATGACCACCAGCACGATCCCGCTCACCAGGAACACCAGCGCCAGCACGAAGCCGTAGTCGGCCGAGTGGTCGTCGGCGGGGCTGAAGGCCGTGAAGCCCTGAGCCTCCTCCGCCCCCCCGCCGCCTCCTCCTCCGCCCCCTTCCTCCTCATCGTAGGACTGCGGGGAAACCTCCTGATGGCGCTGCTGCAAGAGAGGTTCAAGGCAAGGAAGAAAATGAGAGAGGAAATAGAAAGAGGGCCGGGCGAAGATTCCAGAGATGGAAAAAAAGGGAAAGAAATATGGAAGAAAAAGCAGCAAAGCGTGGAAAAAGAAAAAAAAGGAGGATTGATTGCAAGAATCGATGGGCATAAAGAAATGAGTAGAGGAAAAAAAAAGTTTAAACAAAGACAGGAGAAAGAAAGGAAAGAAAGAAGAAATAGAGATGGCAAATTAACCGGGACAAAATGTAAAGAAGGAAAAAGGATGAAATTCACATGGAGGAAATGAAAAAGACAGAAAGTGAATTAAACCAAGCCGAAATGATTCATTAATCAAATTAGTCAGTTTTTCTGGTTCAGTGTGGCTCGAACAGAGAACACAAACACTTTTTTAAACATGTAGATTTCTTTTTTTAAACAGCATTAGTTTGTAGCATAAAACTCACAAAGTCAAATTCCACCTTCAGATGAAAGAAAACCTGAAGCAGGAGTTAAACATTCATCATATTTGAATGAAAATCATCAGTAGCAGTGGATTCCTGGCACCTCGTGCCACTGTATGTCATCCTGTTAGACTGGAAGTCGGATATTTGGCAGCCTGGTAGCTGCAGCCTGCCCAGTTCTGTTCCTCCTGACTGTGCTGTGCTCGAGTTGGCGTTCTGTGTAAGCTGAGATTTGAGTTTTGTGTTCACAGCTCTCCTGAAATGATGTCAAGTAAAAAAAAAACTAAACAACAACAAACTACTCCTGATGATCTGTTTAGTGCTGCTTGAAGCTATTCCACGTTATCAAAAAGCAATATGAAAGCTGAAGAGGCATATGGAAGAAATTTCTGAAGCCAAAACACATTAGCAGACGCGACCGGAGCCTCGATTTAAAGTCGTTTATAACAATTCTTGACATAAAGCTCGTAAAAAAAACGCTAGATGCAGACCTAAAGTCGCAGCTAAGGGACGGAACGACGCAGAGCGATGGAGAGACGGCCACAAAAATCAGCACAAAGGCGTAAAGATACTGCAGAAACACAACAAACACACAGTGAAAACAAAACCCATAGAATAAAAAGTTTCAACATGGCTGCTCTGAAAACATGCAAACCAGCCATGTGAAAACAACACAACAGACACAACACCATCAAAAATAAATACAGAAACACGCTAAACACGTTAGCACAAAAAAACTGAAAAGAAACACAAAAAAGAAAAGAAACTCTATAAAATGTCTTTTGAAAAGCCACATCTATCTGCCAAAAACCATAAATAATCCTTTAAATCCCAAATGAAGCATTTCTTTTTCAAACCACGCCATCACAAGTTTAAGTTACACAAATGCTATCACTTTTGGACAAATTGCTAAAATCAATAAAATACAGCTGCTTGAGTAAAATCTTTTGATTTTAAATGACAGCTACTGTAAATAAGAGACGACACGTGTGAAAGCAGCTGTCTTGGACACAGGAAGACTGGCTCTGCCACCACAAACAACAACTCTGTCCAATAAATCTATTCTTTGCTCCACAAAGAATAGATTTATAAGCACGGGCGGCTGGACATATAGCATCTCCAGGAAAGTCTGTGTGCATACTGATCCATCAAATGCTAATTAATAGTTCAGTAACAGTTTTCTGGAAAACCTTTAAAATTTATATATCCGAAGTAACAAGAGGTATTAAAAAGCAGAACTATTTACCATGGTCAAACATGTAGACCGACTTGATTTATCAATATAATATACATTATATATTTCATCAGCTGGCCAGAATACACAAAAAATGTTCCTGTTATGTAAAAAAACTGACAAAAAAACACTCCTTTGAGTATTTTACCCATCAGAATTTGTTCTACCTTGCTGTTGGTGGAGCTGGCTGCAGCCGGCGGCCCCTGGTGCTCCGGGGGGGGGCTCTGGTCCTCGTCCTGCTGGTAGGAGGCGTTCTCGAAGCCCCGGCCGGCGGGGCCCGGCGCGGCTGGCGGAGAGGGGCCCCCCCGGCCCCCCCGCAGCTCCCGGAGCTCCACGGCGTTCAGAGAGGACTCCATCGGCCCACGCTCATGTCCTCATGTCTCCAGCAGACCTCCACTCGGCTTCGTCCTCACTGCATCAACCAGGGAAAGACTCTAGTAGGTTCATACAGTAAGTTTAAACAATCAAAAAGAGATAAATTAACATTTCTTTGTCTGTGGACATCAACATTTGTAGTTGATTCACAAAAATACTTCTGATCTCCAGCCTGACGTTGGCAGGCAGTGATGATTCTTCCGTCTATTTGGTCTTTTTTTTTTTCATTTGAGCTTTTATTCTTTTACTGTTTTTTAAAAACAGTAACCAGAGTTTATTACTGAGGGGAAAAAGCTGTAAAAAGGTATCTAACTCAGATGGTTTGAGAAAATACATCTCCCTGCACAGCTATAAAGGACAAGACACTAAAAATGCATATTCCATGACAGTATTAGTGTTAAAAGTCGCACCTTTATGCTTTAAACGGGCACAAATGCATCATTTTACGGTTAATGGACAGAGATGTGTGAAAAAAAACATGTTTACTGCATTTCTACAGCATTAAATACCATTAAAACATACTAACTCCGACAGGTCATGCATCGAACTTGTAACTTGCGCATTTCACACTCTTCTTCCACATTTTCCACACCTAATTTTTCTCAAGTAGCGCGAAAAAACAAACATATTAACTTAAAATTGGAGCAAAAGTCCGTTTTTTTTTTACGACCACTGGATGACATTGAATCAACATGTAAATTTAGACCATCCATCACAGGGATTTCATCTAGTGATACACAGACTGATGAGCATATTTAGCCCACTCGCTCACATTTGAAAACCTCATCTTGCCAATGTAATGTCTAGATAAAAGCTGCATTGTTAATTGTGCAAAATGCACATTTGACACACAAAAAAAAAAAACTGAAGTTTCTATTGCTCAGGAGTTTTGATGTGTTTCCTTTACTGTCCTCCACCTACATATGACCCAGTGGGTTCATGCACGCAGCCTAAAATCAGTCAGTGTACTGTAAAAGCATCATTAAGGGTGAAGCTTGTGTTGCTTTTGTTGCCTCTGACCTAAGCATTAACTAATTCCAATAAAGCCATTTTGACTTCTGACAATAGACCATTGTTAATATCTCCCAAAACTAACCATCAAAGGGCAACATTTCTCTGATCTGTGTTGCGTTCGTGCACAACCAGAGCTGTCGGCAAAATGGCCTCCATGAAGGACGCTGTAACATCTGCCAGATGTTGGTCCTAAACCGCCATCATGAACGCGTGAGTGACCAAAACCGCTGCAGGTTTGGTGCCTCCAGGTGAACCGCACTCAAAGATTCACCACAGAGAGCGTGCCTTTTCAGTGCCTAGGCTTTTTCAAACTCGTCTTTATAGTCCCGGAACTAAAATCTTATTGTTTCGGTTCCACTTGCTGTCGGGTTCCCCGCTGGTCGGCTGTCTCGCCATGAGCAGCAGGGGGGAGAATGGCGTGTGTGTCTCACCTCGGGGTTTATTTATGTCCATGCTTCCCTCCTCGCATCGCCCTCGGTGCTGCCGCTTCCTGTCGAGACAACGGCGGGCTACGGTTAGATGCTAAGCCTTCAGAGAAGAGTAGCCATAGTTCAGCCTAAATGGATGAGTCAGAACTAAAAAAAAAAAAAAAAAGCATGTGTTGCTTTCAACAAAGACGTTTCCCGTACAGTCATCCTATCCCAGGGTGGGAGACACAGAGACAACCATGCACACTCAGTAAGGTCACCAGTTTTCTGAACACGCTGGATCCAAAATACCGCCACGAAGACGGAATAGACAAAGGAGACATCTATCCATCCATTATCCTTACAGCTTATTCCCAAATGAGTGAGGGGACTGGAGCCTATCCCAGTAGCCAATGGGCGAGAGGCGGGGTCACCAGTCCATCGCAGGGTCACACAGAGACACACAAGAGAGACCAACAACCATGCACGCTCACTCCTAAGGGCAGTTTGGAGTGTCCAAATCAAGCTAACATGCAGGTTTTTGGACGGTGAGAGGAGAGAACCCATGGCACAGGGAGAACAGGCCGACTCCACCCAAAAAGGTCCTGGTTCCCCCGGGGATTCGTACCCAGAACCGTCTCACTGTGAGGTGATGGTGCCACCCACAAAAGAGACAGTCACCCTGAGGAGAATTCAGTCATCATTTCATTTTTATTCTTCTTCTTTATAAGCCGGTTAACTCTGTAGAGTTCTGGTTAACGTTAAAGCTTGTAGAATGAAGCTGGCTCCTACAATTTTGATCCAGCTCCATGTAGAAATTCACATTTAAAAAAAAGAAGAGTCCCCCCAGTGCCTTATACCCTCCAGACAAACCGGCACTCATTCGTTTCTACGCTCGGTTCCGGTTCCTTTGGAGGCTCCGGGCTGAAGTAGCCCACTGACACACTTCCCGTTCATCACCGCTTCCGGCGCGCACGCGGACGCGGTGTCCACGAGCAAGCGGGATTCGCACCTTGTGCCGAGAGGCTGTCGTGCCTTCGCCGTGACCTTGTGATGCACCAGCGGTACCGAATCTGGACCGCGAGGCGGTGCACGCACGCACGCACGTGTGTGTGTGTGCGCGCGCGCGTACAGAGATGCTATCGGCGCGAGTCGAGAGATGAGAGACAGGCTGACGCGCTAATTATCAGCCCGAGGAGCGGGAAAATAACGCGGACAAGGCACGAGCCAGTGCACGCGGACATTATGCAACCGACCGCGCGAGAGCCCGCTTCCCGCGGCCGGGAGGCGGCGGGTCCGGTAGCGGGTCTCCGGGCAGCTTCCGCCGCGCTCTGCGGGGTTTAAAAAAAAGAAATAAAAAAACTAATGTAGCCGAAAGGAGCACGCTGGGACCGGATGAGGAAACCGGATGAAATGACCGGGCTTACCTGGGTGCCGACGCCGGGAAAATCCGAGCGGCTGTGGAGCTCCTCACATCCGGAGAGAGGGATGCAGCCGGAGGATGAGCGGGGAGGATGGAGAGATGGAGAGGCCCGCACTGAGCATGCGCAGAGAGCGGCCCGGCTCCTGTGGCTGCTCGTGGAGTCACAGGAACCTCCTGGCTTCACGGCTTTTGACGTAAATTATAGTATTGTCGAGTGTTATGAGGCTTCAGTGCCCCCCCCCCCAAAAAAAAATAAAAATAAAAAAACAATAAAAAAATAAACGTTTAGCTGCGTAATCAGCGGTTGTAGTTTTTATTGTTTTTTTAGATATTGTGTATTTTTTTTTGGTCTAAAATGAGGTTTTACTCACTTGGACCATATCTCCCATTTTATGGCTTTTTTTGTAAATATCTATGACTCTTATGATTAGATTTACTTTTATTATTAAATGCTTCCAGCTCAGATGTTACAGAAAACCCAAAAACCCTCCCCGATAAAAGAATCAGGCATAATAAATAAATAAATAAATAAATAATAAAAAGCAGAATTTGTGTTATCCCACATGACTAAAAGCATCTGGATCAAACTCAAACTCGTTTCCAAATTCCAACAAAGGCTAGCTGGAGATTTTCTGTCAACGTCTAACTTTTCATTGATAATTTAAAAAAGATATCTAACTTAATGAGCTGTAATGGGGGAAAAAAAAATCTGTGAATTAAGTACATTTTATTTTACACAACTATTTTACAAAGCAGTCTGCAGACATTACAAACATCCTTCAAACCCAGTGGACTGTTGTTTCCATTATTGGATTCTATCCACAGGTTTTCTTTTCTTTTTTAAATTCTTTTTTATACAAAAAGCAGATTGTTTCTGACTTTGAAACAAACCCATTGTTAAAATTGAAAGGTGAAAGCCATAAAAGATTAGTTTCTAACAGCAGTGCAGTCACAGTTATTTGGACTGACCCCGTAAGAAAAACAAACAAAAAAACAAACAAAAAACAGTGTAGATACTACACACAGGAGCACAGTTAGCATGACGCCTGTTAAAGACAGCTTCACAAAACACTAAACGGTTCAAAACCTCTGTGGACATTATATTATAAACAGTAAAATGAATAAAATTAGATCATTTTCCCACAACGGAAGACATGACGGAGTTTGGACTCGAGCTTTTTTCAAGTTCTAATCCTAAAAATCTCTCTCAGATTACTGTGATTAGCAGTGCTTTCTCTTCACTACATGCACTTTCTTTTCTTTTCCGAACAGTCGTTTACACATGTGAATAAAACACACAAGTCTGGAGGTCTAATTTGGCTGGTTTTTATCTCGCCTGAAGACCAGGTCGGAGCTTTCTATGCGTCTCGACATGAGGAGGGATCTTTTTACATACCCATTGGAAGTATTTCACACATCAGGATGACGCTTTTTGTCCCAGCGGCTTCTGTAACACGCTTTTAAACCGCTGACCACCGCCAACACGGGCTCAGGTGCTCCTTGTTAAAACCACTGCAGAGATCAGAGCTTCCCAGTTTTAACACACCAGCTGAGCTGTGACTCACTGATCAGACCGCTGAAAGCACTAAACAGCCACAAACAGCCACATTATTCCCCCCTGGTTACGCATGTACGGGCTGTTACAGCGTCCAGGGGGTGTCACCCCACCCTCCACCCTTCCAGGTCGCAGTTTTGGCTTTAAAACATTAAAACCTCCATGAGTAATAAAGAAAAGAAAAAGTTCAAAAGCCTGGTATGCGTTCCGATACATCCTGCAAACAGTTTTGAAGAAGTCTCTTTATAATAAAGAGATGATCCTGAATGGAGTGGGGTTAAAAACCAGGGCAGAATCTCTACCAGCAGGCAGGTGTGTGACACCATCAGTCTGTAGAAACAGAAAAAAAACAAACAAACACAGACCATCATCTGTGCTAAATGGGGAGGAAAGAAACTTAAAACATCTCTGCTTTTGCTTCTTGATTCCTAATTTGACTCAAATGTGACATTCCAGATGTTATTGCTGCTGTTACTCCCAGCCCTGGGGTCAGAAAACACTCCCCGAGGTGTGTTTCAGTGACGAGTGCCCTGACTGGTTTCCAGGTATTTGGGGCTCGGCTCCTCAGCGGCTCTGGCGCTCGGACACGACGTCCTGCAGCCGCTTCAGCAGCACGTCGGGGCTGTTCCCGTTTTCCGGGCACGCCCTTTTGCTGGGCGAGTCGCACGCCGATGACATCATCACGTCCCCTTCCATGGTGAAAGCCCTCTTCCTGCTCACGCAGCCCTGCTGGACCATCCGGTTGATGTCGGCCAGCTCCTGCGGGGAGGCAGAGGGGGGACCATCACCGACGGCAACACAACCTCCTCTATTTTCTGCTGCCCTCCGTTGTTTTTTTATCCCGACAACCAAACACAAGGCGCTCAGTTGACCATCATTTAAGGCAAAGAGAAGCACAAAACCACTGAATTATTCACAAAGCTGCCAAAACCCATCAGATGCAAAAACTACAGAAATGACATTAACATGCAAACAAAGGCCATATTTTTTTAGGTCAGATCTGCTGTCTGATTACATGAAAACACTGAAATAAAATTAAAAAGGGGGATTTTCTATAATTTCTAAGGTTTTGATACATGGCATAAACTGGCATTCTGTTTAAAAATAGATCTAAAACTGGATTTATGGGGCAACATGATGCTGCGAAGGTGTCTTAGAACAGATCATCTTAAAAGAAATGAGAACTAACATTCCCTTTTAAACAATATCATAAGAATAAATCATCAGGCAAGAGTGATATTATTACCCATTGGGTGGACTGCTAATCAGAGAGTGCTGGCCTGCTTTTGTGTGACAGAGTTTAGCTAAAAAAAATGCAGCTCTAAGCTGCACTGAGGCTGCTTCAGTCTACAGCTTCTTAATGAGAACAGATGGAGGTGGAGTGTGTCGGTGTCAGTGGGTTCTTGCCTTGGACGGGCTGCTGTTGATCCTGTACGTGTAGGAGTTTGGGGTGAGGCAGCCTGCCGAGTTCTTATGCGGGGACACGTACAGCAGGTGTTTCTGGGAGACTCGGCGGGGAGAGAGAGGCTGAGCCCGGACCGATGGGAAGGGAGAGAGGGGGGGCGCGTCCGCCTGGGGGGTCCAATAGTCACACATCACGTTTCTGCTGGTTAAGCGTGAACTAAGTCTAACAACGCACAAGAGGGAGGCCGTACCCGGTTGTCGTGGGTGGCGTATCGCAACGCAAAGCTCTTCATCCTGAGGACGAACACGGTGTTGTAGAACTGGATCAGGTCACCGCGTTCCTCTTCTCCCGAGTGGTCGGAGTTTGCGTCTCCTGGAAGCTGAATAGACTTCTCTGCAGCTGAGGAGACACGAAGCAAAAAACATTTAGTGATATATTTAAAAAATTGCAAAAAAACACCTGACACTCTTTTCTGATGTCAGGGCCTGCTCTTCACTTTGTGACAGAAAATTGGACTTTAATTCAATCTTCGAACCAAAGTAAATGTATTAATGAATTAAATAACTAAACAAACGTAGAGATTGATAAATATATAAATAATAAAAAAATCCAGATCTATGATTTACAGCAGTATCATTAGCAGCGTCTTAAATGAAAGCACTTTAATGAAGTGTGTGTGTGTTTGTGTGTGTGACTTTACATTCTCCACCAGACACAGAGTCCACCTCCATGTTTTCATCCACCGACTGCTCTCTGGGAGCGCGACGCAGCAGCACGCTGCGGTAGACCTGCACACAAACAAAGAGTAAGCCTCCTGAAACCTCCTCTCCCTGTTGGCCAGTAGTGTCCATCCAGATGTTTCTCACATGGCTGCTGGCTTGTGGCTGGCTGCGGTAACACTTCATGATGTCCTGGAAGGTGTGAGCCTCTTTGGTGATCTGTGTAGAGGGGAAAAAATATCAAATTAAACACTTCCCATGGCCGAGCCTTTCCCTAAATCTGAGAAGAGAAAGCTGCTTTTCTTAAGAAACGTGTCCTGTTCAAACTGTGTTTGAACAGTCAATAGTGTTGCACCGTGTCTTAACATGAATTAATGTTATTGTTGGAGCTATTTATTCTTTATTTCTTTATTCATTTGAATTTTGTTAGTTAATTCTTAAATGTATATTTTTTGTATTATTTACAGTATTTATTTTGCAGGTTAATAATTGTTGATTCACAAATAAACCTTCAAGAATAATCAACAAGTTTGGATCTTAAATCTTCTTTTGCCTGCGTACAGAAACTGGACCCCAGTGCCTCTTAGTGGCTTGAGGAACTTTTATTGGATGTTTGGTTTGACAAACAATCGCCACTACAGTTATCAACAGTTTCTTTTAGAAATCTGAATTGTGTGTTTGCATCCCGGCAAACATGGAGACTGTCTGGAAGTAACACCCTCCATCCCTGGCAGCTTTAGGAGATCAGAGCAGCTAGCACAGCCCGTTTCCAAGGAAGGAAAAAGGCTCAGGCGGCCTGCCGGTTGTGCTGCTTTTCGGCGTTTTCTCACCTTCGATATGATGTAAATGCTGCAGAGCAGCAGCTGGTCCAGGTGCCGCTCCTTCATCAGGTCGGTGGAGTGCACCAGGGAGTGCTCGAAGCACGTCCAGATTTTCCCTCTCAGCTCCGACGAGATGTCCAGCTTCAAGCACAGATCCCGCAGGCGCACACTGGCCAGGTGATACACCTACGCACAAAAAGGTGGCCATGCCAGAGAATCATTTGAAACTGTACCTGCTTTAGAAGGAAATGTAAATACGACTTTTTGCATTAAGCCATCAAATGTTGCCCATGACGCAGACATCAGAGGTATTCAAAACATTATCTTAAACCAGATGATCTGGGTCCAATTATTCGGATAAAGAATTCTAGGTGTCATTGACAACAATTAGCTGATTCATAATTAACTTAATGTTAAAACAATTAATTGTTTTTTTTGTAAATACTATCTGAAAACACACTTGACGGATTTGTGGATGTGTACAGGAGCTGTGGGGATAACTTCCAGTTTAAATGTGATCTACTGACTCAAACCAATCCGGTGGAAATAAAAGTACTTAAAACTGAAGTTGATTTATGCCGAAAAAGAAGCCTTTCCATTGCTCCCACCTTCCGAAAGAACAGAGCGAGCGAGCCGGTGCGTCGCGGCCGTCCACCTCCTGTCTGGGGTTCAGAGGTCAAGGCGGCGGCGGTGGGCCGGCTGGGCGAGGCGGTCAGCAGGAACTGGGCGGTGACCACGTTGGAGGAGTCGCAGGACTGGACGGGGATCAGCGTGATGGTGCGATCGCTGCCCATGCCTGCAGACAGTCCCACAAACACAAAGAAGGAGCAGAGAGTGGCTTTTATTTCAGCTCGTTTCAGCAAAGTCCACCACACTCATCTCACTCGGTGTGGCCCTGATCTCCATCTCTAAGGTTTCCCATGTGGCTGAAAGTCGACTGTTTGAACAGATAAATAAGGCAGCGGACCACCAGGCTTGGAGCTGCTATGCTGCTTTTGTTTGCACACTTAATGAGCATGACAACGTTTATGAAGGCACCGAATTTAAATCCTCTGCTGAATGTATGATGACGTCACCGATGACATCACACAACTACCAAAATCCTTTTCTCACTTGATGTAAACAGCTAAAATCAAAGGTATGGGTCTTTATGTTGGTCTCATTAAAACTCAAAAAGAACCTCAAAGGTCTGAGACATTTGTTAAACAGCTTGTTAAGGTGACTAATCCACCCCAGATAAATTGGTTTTAAAGAAAACAGTTGTATTTACTTGCGACACACATCTTTCCAACTCCAATCAGTGTGCTTTACAGAGTCCTGTACAGCTCCTCCACCATCAGGGTTTGGTTTCAATCACTTGAACAGCCTAATGCGTGTCACTCAGTTTCTAAAAACTGGAGCAGGAGAGGGGGACCCACCTTGCAGAGGGATGCTCAGGATGGAGGTCTGGCCTCCCTGGCCTCCGATCTTCAGCGTGCTGCCGCCGGAGCCAAACGTCAGCCTCTTGGCCGGGGACGGCAGCGGGCTCCCGCTGGGTGTCTGGGCTGCGGCCGGGGCCGGGGGGTCGTCGCCGAAAAGACGGCGCTTGGCGCTGCCGGCGGCCGGGGAGCTGTATCGGTCGTGGACCGACAGCGGAGAGGGCGGCACCTCTGGAGGAGGCAGATAAGAGCCAAAAGATCAGACGCCGACTTCAAGTATCGAGCTAAAAAACAGCGCTACAGTAGTGGACTCCCACCTTTACGGGCGCTCCCCAGGCCCGACCTGAACTCCCTGATGCGGGGGTGTATGATGGGGGAGTGGGCCACCAGGGGAAGGTGAGACTGACCGCCGCTGTTAGAACCAGAACCCGTGTCAAGACTGGAGGAAAAGTTGACCTGGACGGAGAGAAGACACAACCAAATTAAATTAAAATACTCCTTAGTCCGAGAGTCCTAATTCAGATCCAAGCGGATAACTTCTGTTTCCTCTCAGTGAGAATGAAAAAATTTTTAAATTTGAGAACATTTACTTCTCACTGTAAATCTGCATGGAATTTACACTTCTTGCTTCTACACGACAGCCTTGACTTTAACTGTTTTAAGGGATTTGTTTAATTTTATACCTTGTTTAAGAGTTTCAAAGTTACAAAAGGACAAAGACCAGCAGCTTAATCAAACAATAAAAGATGATACAAACTGGATCTTCCAGGTTACATTTAAACCTGACTGGTTTAATTAAAGCAGACGCTAAGGATGACTTATACGTCCGCCCTAAACATCTTTCTCCAGATATTCCTGCGCGGCAGCAGAGGGCTCTGGCTGACCTCCTCCACTGTGGGCACTTTGTTCCCAGCAGCCTGCAAGGCGCTCCACATGGCAGAGTCTGCTTTCCACGCTCTGCTCTCCAGAACCTGCTCCTCGATCGAGTTTAGATGCTTCACCATGTCTCTAGACAGGCCCTCCTCTGAGCGGATGAACACCTCGATGACCTGTGGGCAAAAAAAAACACAGAAATCCCTTTAGTTCGTGCACAGGTTTTGTCTAAGTGGGTCTGAGGCGGATTCCTCAGTTTGCTTTTATTCTGAAGCGGTTTTCACACATCAAATCAGGAGATTTTAACGGAGAATGTTTGGACACTTCAGCATAATTGGAAAAAGGGAAATGACTCACAGACACAGAAACACATTGCAGAGGAATCTTTGGATTCATAGATCTTCATTTCTAAACTTTTATAAAACCTTTTCCTTAGTAAATTCACGCAGAACAAATAGATGACTGAAAAATGTTTCCATTTCTGCCAAATGAAACTTTTTAAATAATGGTCACATTTCTGGCGTATACTGCAACTTGTGTGTTTTTCTTGCTTATAAATACCTTAAAGAAGTAAAACGGGGCCAGTTTGAAGATGTTGATGATCCAGGGGAAAGTCCTCTGGGAGCTGTAAGAAAACAACACCACCTCCAGACAGCAAGCCATCAGGGAGCAATGGAAAATGTCCTGCTCAAGCAAAACCTGAGGGCACACAAACACAGAAATCACACATTTAAAAGCATAACTATAGAGGGAATGTGAATGTCTTTGAACAAAACACAGGTTATTCCTGTAAAGGACACGTGAAAATAAAGAGTCATTTCTTTTTATTGTTTACTGGTGATTATCTATCTGTACCCTCTGCTAAGCGAATTATTTTCCCTGAATGATTTTCTTTTTCAAAATATTTTGTTGATGCTAAAGATTGCTCAGTGATTCAGAGAAAACATGAGAATCAGCACAGTGGAGCCAAACTAAACGGCTGAAGCACATGGCTGCTTTCCCTGGTTCTCTACAGAGTTTTTTTTCCCCCTCTGCTTTAAACTCTGTGCAAACTTACATTAACAATGTAAAATGCATTCATGACTTATGCAGCAACCTGGTGTGTCTCGGATCTGATCCGACAAGACATCTGAGGTCATTCTGCCGCAGATGGAAGCAGTTTGCTCCGACACAACACGCCCCGTGTCCCATTTCTGGTTTGTCCTGTCAGGGGGAATCCCTCACTGTTGACTGGGACCACTCCAAGAGATGATGACTCATTTCGGAGCTACTCTGACTCAGTCTTTATTCCTGATGTCGTGCTTTGGCTTACGCGTTCCTTCTAATAAAAGGCTGCTTACGCTCATGTCTCTGCCTTGCAGCCGTTTGGTTTCCTGAACCAGGACGTTCTCCAGGATCTTGTAGTAGAGGATCTCTGCCAACTTCAAACGGTTCTCGGCAAAGTCTTAAAAAAGGAAAGAGAGACATTCATACATGGCGGGGATTCTGCCAAAGCGGATCTTTGGGAATATAAGATGCCCTGCAGAAGCTCTAACAGCTGCTAAACCCATTAGGAGAAATCACTAAACCCGGTTTCACTTTGTGTGCTTGCTTCTTACCGATGTGAGAGCCAGGCGTGTCTTCGGAGTCGTTGGTATAATGTTCTTTGAAGGTTTGACCCAGAGTCTTCACTCGAGCCAGTATGGACTCTGTGGGGTCCCTGGAGCAGGACCTGGAATACCAGCATACATCCGAATGACATTTAGAAAGCCACATGAAGGAAATTATTTCAGGGTGTGATAGAGATTTTGCTACCTATAACATTTAAAAGCAATATAAAAAAAAGGAAAAAAGCTGAATGACCACCCTCTCATTTGAAAACTAGCCCTTGCTACGATATGGTGGCTTCCAATATGGCTGCCATGTTCAGGAAAACGCTTCAAAGAAATGACATGCTAGTTTGTTCAGTTATGTCATTTCCCCTTTTGATTCTTTAATAAAAGTGTCCTGATACTTTTGACCCATCCAATGCATTGGGACACAGATATAACACTCACTATAAATCACTATAAAATTAAGAAAACCTAAAATTTAGCCAGCCCAATCTGAATCAAGTGTAACGAGATATTTTGGAATAAAGCTCCATGGGCTCAAACAGGCATCCTGACGGTTGGTGTGCAACAACACACTCCATAAAACACCACAAGTCCTCATCAGTCGGCAAAGAGTGGAAACAAACAGGTGAACTAACTTGAAGTTCTGCATCAGCTGCTCGCTGGGGGCCGCCCTTAAACCCGCCACCATGCTCTGGAGGCGGCTGACGCTCTGCGTTGCCGAGGAGACGGGCGTGACCAGCAGGTCTTTCTCCTTCAGGTAGACCCGGCCTGTCAGGGGGGTGGAGGGGGCCAGCGAGCCAGGCTGTGCACAGAGAGAGGGCATGAAGGAAATCCTGCTCCAGTTGTGCTGCGTATGGACACGATTCATCCCAACCTTGTCAGGTAAAGACAACTGGACTTATAGCTAGATCTTGAAGACGTTTCACCTCTAATTTGAAGTGACTAAATAGCTTTTTGGGAGAGAAACATCCTCAAGATCCAGTACGGTTGTCCTTAATTGATCATTAAACTATATTTATCTATATTTACACCTTGGTTATTACACAGAAAGACTAAAAATGGGTCTATTTCTTGTCCTCATTGTTAGTTTTCTCATTATTTGCTGACGATGTGAATGTGGCAGAGAACAAATATGATTTTGTTATTATGCCATTTTATTACAGCTTGAAATCAAACACGTTAAGTAAACTGAACTATCTTATAACTCTATGTAGTTGTACATTGGTCCCTGACATCCAAACAACTCCGTTGTGTTTGTTAGAGGAGCGAGATGGGAATACGAGCCACTTGTTTTACTGGACGTGAGCGAACATTTACAACAGATGGTGAAGCATTTAAATATTATAGGAAAAGGAAATTCTGCTGTGAAGAGTGAGAACTGTTAAAGCCAGACCTGGAAAAGTCAACAATTTAGTCTGTAGATGTGGAAAGAATTCTGAGGGGAGACCCTGAACATTTGCTGATGCAGTCATTCTAGGAAAATGTAAAAAAATTTTTTTTTTTACATTTACTCTCATAAAAACTAGGCTGAGAGATTTCTGCTCTGCAGAGTTACAAAGAGCTGTTATGCATTCCCTCTCACTTTTCATCACCACTCAGGTTTTTGCCTTTCCGGCTCAGCAGATAACAAGCTGAGTCGGTATTTGCCGGTTCTTTTCAGGCTCGTACCTTCTCCACGTGCTGCTGCAGCTGGTTCTGGGCGTTTTGGCCGGCGGACCGTTCCTGAATGACTTTTCTCGGAGTCCCGATTTCCTCGTCGGCATCAGCCTCCAGAAACACTCGCTCGTCAAAGTCCCCCACCGTCAACACGTACTCCTCATACTCTCTGTTTACGGCCTTCCTGCAAACAGAGCAGAGTTCTACACTTCACTGACCGAACTGTGGACGTGGAACGTCTAAACAAAGTGCTCCAAATGGAGACAGATGTTACCGAAGAAGACACAAACATCTGCCTGAAGGCGACTTCCTGCTCCATACTACTTACTTGTTATCTAAGAAGTTCTGTGGATCCAACAGTTCAGTCAAAAGCTCCTCGTTTCCTTTCAGGATCTGATTGGTTCAAGAACAAAAAAATTTAAAAATCGAAACTTTAATCTTGCTTGATCAAGCCCTAATCAAATAATGATGAAAGGGTGGTTGAATGCACAAAATCAACAGCATAACTTGAGGAGGATTGTTCAGAGAGCGCCAGCACACCTGCTTCTGGAACAGTTTCTGTATGTATGGTTTGAAGTAGTGCTGCTTGATGCCTTTGGCCTCCACCACCAGCCCGTCGTGCAGCTCACACAGCCTCTCCAGCACGCAGGGGGGAGGCTCGTCGGGGGAAACGTGGCCGTCGGAGCGGTACAGAGCAGGAAGACCTGCACAGTGGCAAACACCGACTAAATTAAACATGGAAGCACGGACTAAACAACTAGCACAACGGATATTAATGTCACTCACGAATCGTGATAATTTTCTAACTTTAGCTCATCAGGAAGATGGGTTGCCCTCCAATCAGAAGGTTGGTGTGTGTGAATATGGCATATTGTGTAAATTGGCGTTTTAGAGAAATGTAGGGAAAGGGCCACAGTGACCGCAGAGGACGCCAGTTCACTGTGGCTGGACGTCCTCAGCCCTGCAATTATTCCATCCTCGCAGTTAAAACGCTGATTGCAGACCTGATGCAGTTCATCAGCACATTCTTTTCTGCATAATTCATTAATTATACAGCTGCTGTGTCTTCAGAGTGTTTCCTGTTTCAGGTTGGTGGTCGAGTTGGGAAATTCTGCTCTCCCTCATTCGTAGGGCCACATAAATCACATGATGTCATTTTCTTTGCATTATCATTTAAATTGATTAATGTGTAGAGAAAACACATAACTTTTCTCTTCAATCTGATCTCAACCTCTTTAAAGGAGTGAGCAGAATACTGCCCTTTATACACTGTATATAATCATTACAAAAAATGGATTTTGTGATTTTACCTTCCAAAGTAGCAAGTCATAGAACTAATTATTTTGATCCTGGACAGATTTACTTCTGGTGACATCACACTGTTTACCTCTAAAAGCCGGGTTGATGAGGTCCTTCCTGTTGGCGCACAGCAGAGCGTTGCCAAACACCAAATCCAAACAGCAGAGCAGAAGGTGGTACGAGTTCACCAAGTCATCCCCGATCATACGAAAGTTCCCTTTAAAAAGAGGAAAACCAAAAGACACTGTAAGGCTCTGAAGAGTTTTTTTGTCACTTCACTCCGTTCTGTTTTAGGACATCAAACCACATAATGGATCACTCAGTTATGTAGGAAAATGACAATATTCTGAGGAAAGAAAAACTTTTCTATGAATCAAGTGTGTAAGAAGGAGTCCATTCTGCAGACTTTAAGTCTCTCACAAATCTGTTCCAAAGGCCATGTTTAAAAGATGAACAAGAACATCAGCAAAAACATTTCAGAGCCACCCCCCCATCCATCCCCTGAGTCCCTGAGCTGTCTGGGTTTGTTTCTTAGTACCTTTAGTGTAGACAAAAAGAGTCCAGCAGAACTTGAACACATCGCTGATGTGACAGGGCAGTCGCCTGCAAAGACAGAGGCAAAAATGCAACGTCAGCACTTTAACTGTGCGTTCACAAGGTAAGGCAAGTTTATCTGTAAAGAACATTTCGTGTCCAAGACAATTCAAAGTGACTTATGAAGAATTTAAAACTAGAAAAACAAAGAAAGAAAATGAATAAAAAAATAAATTATATAGATAAAAAGTGAAGGGTGCAGATAAAACACAATTTCCATATGCACAGGTTCACAGAGTGAATCAGAGAGGAAATTGCTCTGGACTTTGAAGCCTGTGAGCTCAGGCAGAAACAAGCACCCTTCAGAGATACCGAAAACAAAACAGAATAATGAGGAAGACCTGAGCGTGAGCTCTCACAACTCACCGTGAAATTAAACATCTTGTTAAAGTCAAGGCCAAACATAACGGCTTAAAAGAGAAAGAGAAAAAATACTGAGACAACCTGCTGAACATCTGCTGTTCATTGTGGAGATTATAAGGAAAGCTGCAAAAGGGCACACTGTTATTTACTGGCATCTGAATAATTTCTGTGTGGTATCAACTGGACTTAAATTTTTCTGTCCAAACAAAAAGCAAAAATTAAGAGAAGAAATAGACGGTAAATGCTGTTTTTCTTTTGAAATCTGCATTGAATCCGACCAGCAAGACACTAAATGATCCTTTTCTATTCCTCTAAAGCCTTTTTATCAGGTCAACATCTGCCACTCTGATTTTTAGGTGAACATGGCCGACATCAGCAGGGCTTAAAACAGACTGCATCCCAGCTTTGAACAGTTCGTTTCCACGTGGGAAGACCGGAAGACCTGTGATTTTCGGGAGACGGATTGGATTATTTGGCACGCACATTTCCCCTCTGCTGCTGCTCACACGCACATCCCAGCGGGACCCTTCCTGCGGGAGGGGAACTCCCTCAGCTGGAATTAAGCGGGCGTGTGGGGGAACAGCTGTCCAGAGGCACAGCAGGCATCTCCATGCGTCAATAGTAGGGTTGTCAAAAGTATCGATGCTAAAATGTTGTTTATGGTCATTAACAAGTTGTTAGCCTTGAACTGCTAGCTTCGGCTAATGGCTAATAATAACGTGCTACCATTAATCAAGTACATATCCGACTCCGCCCACATCGAAGTCGGCCATTATAATTACAATAACAATAGGAAGGTTCCAGGCAAGAAAATCCTAATTGCCTCATGGCAGTATAGAGATTCATTTAAAAATTGTGAAATTAATCTTTCAAACACTTCATTAAACTCTATGCATAATATTATGTTAAAATAGTGGATGTTAAATAGGTTTGTACAATAGGTCCAAACAAGTTTAACCAAAAAATATTTATTTCTCACAATTATGAAGGGTGGAGGGTTAGGGTCAGGGTTAGGTTTAGGGTTATTAATGCAGGCCACCAGTCACGATATGATCAGTAACAGGTCAGTTTGAAATGAAAGACACTAACCTGTCAAAATTCATTTAAATTTTGGGGTCTTTTTTTTTATCCTTGTGGTATCGAAAATGGTATCGAGTATTTTCCTGAGTATCGGTTTCGAGTTGAAAATTTTAGGATTGTGACAACCCTAGTCAATAGTGGCAAAAAAAAACATATTTGAAAGGATTTAATGGATCGATTTAGAGCCGAGCCGCAGTGTTTGAGAGCTAAGGGTCCCCACCAGCGTCCACCATATAACCGCCCCCCTCTTCAACTAATTTTACAGCAGAAAACGCCAGCCTTCATCACACAGAAAGACGAGCCTCGGGCGTGGTCCCCCGATGGTCCAGTACCTGTGCTTCCTGCTGCGCGGCTGCCGCGGCGGCTCGCAGCCCTGGGGGTTCTGAAACATGTCCATAAAGATGGGCTCGAACTTGCGAAAGATCACGGTGGAGACCTCAAAGTTGCGCTCCAGCCTGTCCATCCGCAGCCGGAAGTCCTGACAGAGGTTGGACATGTCGGCCCACTTCCTCATCTTGGAGAAGAACTGGATCAGACTGATGCGGGAGAACACAGCGGGCGGAATGAGTCAGTAACCAGGGGTTAAACAAAAACACACACACACAAAAAAAACTGTATCAAGACGTTTTACAATAAATGGTAACAAAGAGGATTGTAGCGTGGAGTGACAGCTGGTTGACCTGTGCTAACCGAGGCCCGATTTAATAAATGTGAGAGCTGTAGTTAGCTAAAGCGAACAGAAAGATGACATTCTGTTGCATAAATTAAAGACTTCAGCTGGTGTGACTTGGTGTCCACCTGCTAACGTATGGTCGCATTAATAACTCTAGTAATTATCCTGTTGCTGGGGTAACTAAAAAGTAATTTAGCCAGCAACAGATGGGCTTTTTCCTCCAATTTTAGTCTGTTTTAATCCAGACTTGATGCACCCTGAACAACTTTCTCTTAAGAATAAATCAACCGCAAATAAGAGGTCCAGTTTAATAAGACAGGACTGAGCTCGGCATGACGATCAAACTGCAGGAACCCAAACTGTGCTACACCAAGCTGAAGAGAGGGAGAGTGGACTCAGTTTTGAATCAACATGATCTGTGTTGGATCATGTGAAAAATAGAAAAGCGCACCATGTGAAATGGTGACATTGACTGTTTTTAGCAGACTTTTAACCTAAAACAGTGTGGATTTGATTAATTAAAAAAAAAAAATCACCACATAAAAAGACAGATACACTCAGTGTCTCACCTGAGCTTGGAGGAGCGAAGGATCCTGGTGAGGGAGACACAGTTTCCCTCCATCAGCCCTTTCCCCACTGTGGGAGTGGAGCCCTTCCTGCAGGCAGCATAGAGCGAGCAGGCCAGCCAGTGGACCACCTCTCCCTGCAAAGGCAAGGCTCAAAAATCTCAGATGTCCTCTTTTTCTCTTAATTCGTTATTCTCTGCTCAACAGGACGTCTGATGATCGTCTGTCTACCTCCACATTTTGGAAAATGACTGTTCATTTTCTAAAACATAGCAAGTTATAAAATGAACAGATTAAATTACTACATTATAATAAGACATTAGATACATGATATTTCACCAAAGAGGCTACCACAAGTTGTATGGTACTCTCCAGTGGGAATATTTTCTGCTTGTGTCTGCGTTTCTTTATTTCATGACGAAATCTATCTGAACCCTTTGCTTATTGGCAATGCACTTGTTCAGAGAAAAACGACTCAAATATATAATAAAACAGATTAAGCCAGGTTTAGTTATTTAAAATCTTTCACACGGTGCAATTTAAGTGTAGTCGTGACCCGAACGCGATTAAAAGACAGGTTTTAAAAGCATTTTCCCTTAGTTTGCAAACAGTAGCCACAAGCTTTGCGCAAAAAGAAAAAACAGACAGACCTCACACTCGTGTTTATCAGAGATCCAACTATTTTGAACCACACGTCAAATATAGACACCCCTCCTCCTACTCGCTGTGGTGGTTTGTAACCTCTCCTATTCCTGGGGGGCCCCTTTGACCCCCGCAGCCCATGATGCAATCAAAGGGGAAATCGTCCTCTGACAGAAAGAAGTGCAGCCTGACCCACAGCTGAACAGTAGCTGCATTTGTGAAATGTTTCTTATGCTGTGCAACAGTGAATTCTGTTAATTTATTTGTCATCTATTTCCTAATTCACCAAAATTATCTGAAACAGTTAGCATTGACACAACTTAATAGAACCACAGAAAAAAATCCTAAGAGATTTCTAAGATTTGATTCTACTTTGCTGTTATTAATTAATCAGTCCTGATGTTATTTGGAACAATTTTAGCTTTCAAGGCCACTCAGTTTGCAGTTTTGTGCCATCAGATGCTGTTAAAAAATAGGCAATAAGCAGCAACAAAAAATACATCTAATTTAGTCCAAAACATAAGCAGCTAAAATCTGTAGACAGTATGAGTTTAAGATTAATTCTGTTTGTTACCGGCAGTCATAAATAAACAGCAATGGGGATTACTAATAAAGATGTTGTGAACAGCAAAAGCAGCCTTAATAACGTATTAATACAACGGCAAGACTGGAAGCCTCCATCACTTCAGTATCTATGTTATTAATGTCTTGGTTGTTTCCAAAATAAATACCTGTGCTGCATGTTGAATATATATCAGCTGAAAACTGGCACTATGAAACCAAAATAGCATTAAAAAAATACAAATGAATCCAGAAATACTGTCATATTACGAGGCACCAAGAATTGCATTACTTTTTTCCTTTAACTACTAACTTCCACTTCATTTTAGTGCTCCTTACAATGTTCTCTATACAACGGAGGCATAATATTATATAGATTATTAAACTAATTTAGTTTGATGTAGCATTTTATATTACAGCTATGTGTATTTGTGTACATATACATACATATATATACATGCACGCATATTTGAAGGCACAATACACATGCAAATTATGTATATTTTTGCTGCTGCTACGCCTGAATTGTACCTCTGCGGTATAATATAGGTTGTTTTTTTTTATTTTCTTCCATTTGATTAAAAAAATGATATCGTTTAAAGAGCTTTGACTTCTGTGGCACCATTCTCCTTTGTTTCCCTATGATCTCCAACGATAATTTGTCATTTTACTTCGGCCGGAAGACAGACTTGAAAATGAAAACAAGGCTGAGGCCCTTTAATCCCATGTGTTTGTGTCACGGACTGCACTGAAGTTTGGTACGGTATCGATTCCTGTGAAGGGTGGAAGTTAACTTCACCGAAGGCTGCTCAACTCCAGACTGACTTAAAAACAAGATCCGATTATTTAAAGACGTTATTCACCTCCAGAGTGTACGTATTCCAGATGGCAGTGAAGTTGTCCATAGCTTCAGTGGCTGTCTGCTCGTCCATGTTCAGCTCCTGACACAACGCCTCCAAACTCCTTCTGACTGAACTCTCCTCCATCCTCCCAGACTCTGAATCCGACGACTCTTCGCCCCGCATTCGTACGAATTAAAAGCTATAGTGTCGACTTTTTCAAAAGTCTACCTGCAATTATTGTTAAACACCAAACCAAGGGGCTCTCCAGCCCTCGTCCAAACAACACCAACAAACAGCCTCCTCACGAGCAGCGGACTTCCGCCACCAGTCCCCACAATGCAACGCGTTGGCGCGAAAACCACTCGACTCAGACCAATCAGACGCGAGGGGGGCGTCGGGTCAGAAAACTGTTCACCCAACCCCCTTTCGCTTCACAGCCAGCGGTTACCCAGCAACCGCTTGATTACGGTCAGCTAGCTTCCAGAGCAGCAGCGGCTAACGAACGACAACGACCTGAAAATGAGTCCACTTATGGGCAAATATGTCAGATTACCTCTCCTGGTAATTATAACACAGAACATTCTTCACTTCAAAACTCTTGAGCAGTTATAGAAAAAGAAAAAGGACACAAGTTTCCTTTTCTTATTTAATTTCCCGGTTGTTGTTTTCCCGTCTTCTTTCGCATTTATCTCGACTGTTTTAAACTGATTTATTGGTGTAATTCAGCAATTAAACAAGGTTTAGATTCAGTGCTGAAGGAATTTTTTATATAAAAGAACATATCAAACACTTCTATTCTTGCAGCTTTAAATTAGATTGACTTTAAAATACACGTTTCTGTGTATTTACATGATACATTTCATCGTCTGCAATTGTGACAGAAAATAAAGAAAAATAACATAGATGTGTTTATGTTAATTTTATTTGTGAAACTACAGAGTAAGTGAAAACTGAATAAAACCCAGTGACAAACTATTTTTATATTTGCTAATAATATAAGAAAAATCCTCTGAACACAAACAGCTCATCAATGCAGACACAGTCATAATTACAGAGCCAACTATCTAATTTCATATTCAGCTTCAAATCTATTAGCAGGACAACATTATAACTATATTACTGTAAACTAACTATAGCTTATATGTAGAGTTAGTCTTAATTGTTTTATCAAGTTGTTTATTTGACTGGGTCAAGAAGATAGAGAGTACTAGTTTACTTCAAATAGGTGCAACACACTACAGCAAGCCACTATAACAAGGATTCCTGGTAACATCTCCACTTTATATACCATGTTTTAATGACAGTATTTTAGTAATTCTATAAAAAACGCTAGTTATCCAAATTCCCTCATGCACCTGGTTACATTAGGAGATCGGTTTAAGGGCTCAAACTGGACTAATCAGTGAGTTAGCTCTCAGTGAGTGCTGTATCTGGAGTTGTCTCGGGTCTCTGTGGTTTTGATCAGCAGCTTTGGAGCAGGAGAGCCACTGCCTCTGCTGTAGCCGTTGGAACTTTTGGGACCTGGGCAGAAAAAACATGAAGAGTAACCATCACATGTAGCCACCACTGATGTATCAAACCATAGATTTGGTTTTTGAATTTGGTAGTGAAAAGAATTTTATAGTTCTTCAATATTGTGAATACTTTAGTTTGTACTTACTGTAGTTGGAAACTGCCTGGATGTTAAGAATGAACTGCTGTCCAAGTCTAAGGGGAAAGAAGAAAAAAACTTATTTCGACCTTTATTTAGGTCAGGCCATAAAACATTTAGCTGAGGAGGGATGTCTCATAACTGTTAGTTAAATGCAGGTGATATTCTGGAAATTTTATGGATTTAAAGTCAGATTCATAAAAAGCATTTTTTATTATAATGCTTTATATCCAACTAATAATTTGTGCTTTGTTGGATCATCCTTTCATGTCTTACCTGTCCTCCTCTCCCTCTAGCAGCTTCCTGTAGGTGGCAATCTCAATATCTAGAGCCAGTTTCAGGTTCATCAGGTCCTACAGATGAGAAAAATGGGATAATTTCATGTGACTTGTACTTTCTGATCTTTTCAGTGCAGCCTTTGTCAGTTTTTTTTTCTCATTTCCACCCTCTGGTTTTGCTTCATTTACCTGGTACTCTCGCAGCTGTCTGGCCATGTCTTGTTTGGCTCTCTGCAGGGCATCCTCCAGGTCTCTGGTACGGGCTTTAGCTTCTTTCACCGCCAGCTCCCCACGCTCCTCAGCTTCAGCTAGCTGGTTCTCCAGATTGCCACGCTGAGATGGGATTAGGAAAGAGAACATATTACAACTGGCTTTGAACAATATTTCACAGCAAAACCTTCAGTCCCTTCGGGGTTTGACATCCAGATACAAGGATTTCTATTCACTTCAAAGGGACTTTAACATTTTTTTTTGGAGTAGTCTGGCCATTTATGGACAGTATAACTTGAATATCCCTCAGTTCAAGCATTATCTGGATTTGTGAGTATTTACACCATCATTTTGCTCTACCTGTGCTTTCACCGCCTCTATCTCGCTCTGCAGACGGCTGATCATCCGGTTGACTTCAGCCACTTCCCCCTTCACGATGCGGAGCTCATCCCCATACTGGCTGGCCTGCACTGACATCTGGTCAAACTGTTGGTAAAAAAAACCCCACAAATATTACACAAACAGTCTCAGCTTGCCTCTTTTAGAGGGAAGAGGGGAATGTTCACAGGGCCCACAGTACAGTTTATTTTAAATTCCATCGACAATTAAGCTTTGTTATTGAAAAAAGTGGCTTACACACCACACTTTCCCCCGTCCATACCTTGCTCTTGTACCAGGCCTCTGCCTCCTCTCGACTGTGGGCTGCAATTTCCTCATACTGGGCTTTGACTTCAGCAACAATCTGCTCCATGTTGAGGTTGCGGCTGTTGTCCATTTGCACCACCACAGAGGTGTCTTTAATGCTGTGCTGCAGCTCTCGCAGCTCCTGCCCAGGGAGAGGTGGTGAACATTTTCTGTCACAAGACTTGACCCACATGGACATGATATTTTTGAAACCAAACTGATATGTCATTAAGAAACAGCAGAGGTATGGAAATTCTTTCAGCCCTTCCTGTGTTTTCACTATTATCATGGGAGATCCTAGCAATCTGGAAAAAACCAGAACAAACCGCCAACTGAAAACTGAAAAAAACGGCGGCAAGTGGTTTGAGATGAGTCATTAAAACAAAACAAAACTCAGAGGACTTGCAGATATTTGGAGAGCGGATGGAAAAAGTGTGGAAACAGAATACAGGAGGTATTCAAACACTTGATGACACATTTTACCTCCTCATAGACATTGCGCAGGAAATTGATTTCGTCGGTCAGAGCTCCGACCTTGTCCTCAAGATCTGCCTTGACCAGATAAGCCGAGTCTACATCCTGAAATCACGCACACACACACACACACACACACACACACACACACACACACACACACACACAC